TGTCTGCCCTTTTTACATTTCTGCCTGCCCTTTTTACATTACTGTATGCATTTCTGCCTCACTATGCAAATGAGAAGGGGGTGTGTCCTAGAGAGTCAACTTCTGCTCATTGGTTGGCGGTCCATCTTCTTAACTCACAGAGCTCTGAGTACTAAGTTAAATGTTCTCTTTTTTGTTGCTGTTGTTCAATAAAAGTACGTTTTAAGATTATTTGAGGCAAGAACATTATACTTTTAAGCATCTCCATATGACCCATTCACAGATTTAATGCGTAATTTAAAAGAAAATGTTCCGAAATTGAGAGGACCGCGGCAACCAGCGGAGCTCCGAAGCTAGCGCCAGCCCGTCTGCAGCGGTCCTCTCTCGGCATAGCAGTGTGTGAAGCGTGTCGGTTAGCATTTTACTACATCAGTTGAATCTACAGGAGGAGAGTCTGAAGTCAAGACTGAAGTCATTAGAACGGGAGTAGGGACTTTGCCAAATACAACAACAAATCACCATCATAGCCAGCGGTCCTTCACACATGGCTATGCCGAGAGAGGGCAGCTGTGGACGGGCTGCCGTTAGCTTCGGAGCTCTGCTGGTGCCGCGGTCCTCCATAGTCCTAGTGTGTCCTATAAAAAAATTGTTTAATATAATACCCTTATAATACAACATTATATTACATATAATACAACACAGGGATATTAACCTTCTGAGGTTCAAGCAAATCCAAGGATCTTCTACTGCATGATTCTCGTATGTAGATCTAGTTTATGTGTCTTTAAAAATGTTAATGTAGCTACGTATGGATAAAATAAGAGACATGTTATAATTTAAAATGTTAACTTGGAAGTTTAGTTCAGAATGAAAAGGAATATTGCAGTAAAAGTGTTTGGCACAAAAGAGTTTTTCAACTATACTGCATCAGTTTAATTTTCTGTAGAAGAACATTAAATTATGCAACAAAATACATCTGTAAATTTCTACATGTATTTGTCCTAACCATCACTTTAGAGGTGTTCTGGTTTAATCTATGTAGCTAGACATACAAAGACTAAATGTCCAGCCATCACTTTTTATACCTGCTAAATTCTCAATGGGTCATGGAAAGGCTGTTGGCAACATCCATCCATAAATTTGTGAGATGGGATCCACCCACCCTTGCTCTGCAGTCCATCACAAGACAACTGAATTATGAGAACTTTTACAAAAATAGTTCATGTCAAAGATCAAATGCTTGAAATCCAACTGCATTTTATTATACTTATGGACAAGTCAGAATAGGCTACCTTACTAGAGTACCAGTCAGGTTAGTTCAGTTGCACTGCTCATATCCAAGTCTTGCCCCTCTAAACTTATGCATTGAGCATTTCTTCTGGAGTGATTGTTCAAACTAACTGACAGACTTTTTCTATTATGCTATTAGTTCAGGTCCTATATTATAATTTTTTTTCATAGAGCTATTTAAAGTCACCTAGAGGCAAATGTATGAAAAAACAATGCCTTTGGGAGGTATAGAATATCAGTTTATTATGAAATATAGTTGCTTTCTTTTCAAGCTAACACAAATAACAAAATAAAAGTAAGATCTACCTATATGTTTCATATTACAATAATTATTTTAGATTCAAAGATTAACCATTCACTTGAATGACATCTAAAGCTTTAATGTTTAAACCAAAAAGTAATCTAAAACATGAAACAAAGTACACTGCTAAAGAATTTCCTTTCTTCCAAGTATAAGATATGCCTATATTTGTGAATGAAAATTTAATGTTAATGTTTGTTGCCATGATNAAGAATAAAACAGACAAAAATATTATAACATGCACATAAATAAGTACTTCAAAATGTAAGTAATTAAAAAATAAAGTTGAAGATTATAAAGGACAAAAAAGTAAATAAGGTAAATATTACAAAGGCAAATAAATAAAGAAGCTAATTAAAAGAGTTATATACATTTACGTCTCACTGTATAATTTAATTTCTAATTACATTTATTTGTTTATTGTATTTTTGGTGGCAATTAATTGTATGCTTATTTATTTATTGGGCATTTATTTATTTCTGTATTTATTTTTAAATATGACAGAGTTGGTCCTCCATAGTCCCTGTGTGTCCTATAAAAAATTGCTTAATATATTACCCTTATAATACAACATTATATTACATACAATACAACACAGGGATATTAACCTTCTGAGGTTCAAGCAAATCCAAGGATCTTCTACTGCATGATTCTCGTATGTAGATCTAGTTTATGTGTCTTTAAAAATGTTAATGTAGCTTCGTATGGATAAAATAAGAGACATGTAATAATTTAAAATGTTAACTTGGAAGTTTAGTTCAGAATGAAAAGGAATATTGCAGTAAAAGTGTTTGGCACAAAAGAGTTTTTCAACTATACTGCATCAGTTTAATTTTCTGTAGAAGAACATTAAATTATGCAACAAAATACATCTGTAAATTTCTACATGTATTTGTCCTAACCATCACTTTAGAGGTGTTCTGGTTTAATCTATGTAGCTAGACATACAAAGACTAAATGTCCAGCCATCACTTTTTATACCTGCTAAATTCTCAATGGGTCATGGAAAGGCTGTTGGCAACATCCATCCATAAATTTGTGAGATGGGATCCACCCACCCTTGCTCTGCAGTCCATCACAAGACAACTGAATTATGAGAACTTTTACAAAAATAGTTAATGTCAAAGATCAAATGCTTGAAATCCAACTGCATTTTATTATACTTATGGACAAGTCAGAATAGGCTACCTTACTAGAGTACCAGTCAGGTTAGTTCAGTTGCACTGCTCATATCCAAGTCTTGCCCCTCTAAACTTATGCATTGAGCATTTCTTCTGGAGTGATTGTTCAAACTAACTGACAGACTTTTTCTATTATGCTATTAGTTCAGGTCCTATATTATAATTTTTTTTCATAGAGCTATTTAAAGTCACCTAGAGGCAAATGTATGAAAAAACAATGCCTTTGGGAGGTATAGAATATCAGTTTATTATGAAATATAGTTGCTTTCTTTTCAAGCTAACACAAATAACAAAATAAAAGTAAGATCTACCTATATGTTTCATATTACAATAATTATTTTAGATTCAAAGATTAACCATTCACTTGAATGACATCTAAAGCTTTAATGTTTAAACCAAAAAGTAATCTAAAACATGAAACAAAGTACACTGCTAAAGAATTTCCTTTCTTCCAAGTATAAGATATGCCTATATTTGTGAATGAAAATTTAATGTTAATGTTTGTTGCCATGATAGATCTTTGCTCAGCAGCTTCACTTGTTGTGAACCAACCAATCAGCGCACAGCTCATCTAAATATTCATGAGCATACCATAAAAGGAAGAAAACCTGTCGTTTCATAATAGGGCTTTTAACCAGGCTTGCATTAAGGTGCATAGAACAGCAAATATGCCATTTTCAGCCCAGCCAATGTTACACACCCTATTGAGAGACCTTAAGGACCAGACCAAATAACCTATAGAATCATTCTATGACCCCTTTAATTATTTTTAATTATATCAAAATTGGTCCTCCATACACATGTACATACTGCTACACTATACATAACCTTAGTTTTGTTAAATGTTTACATAATAAAGTAGTTTTGATATGTGACCAGTGAAAACTAAGTGAAACACACTTGTCTAATAAATAGATTTTTGACCTATGGAATCAAAGACTATACATTTTTGTGTCTCTATACAGGACAGTATTTCAAAATGTGACTGTTAGATTTACAGGAATGTTTTCATAATTTGCTTTAGTTTCTTTAATTTGAACATACTATGGTTAAAACACGGGGGAAAAAATCCTGAGTATTAATATCTCTCTTAATAAAGGTCTATAATTCATATTGATGCCTCAAAGCAGATTTTAACTGACATTTAAACCAAAGAGTCAACAAAGATAGAGTCAAAAGTGCTGTGTAGTAAGACAAATTAGGAAGTAAATGAACACCAATATAAAGATCATTAGAATTTCATTAAATAACACCTGCATGTGCCTATGGATGTGTTTGACACAAAGAAAAGGGTTCATTAAGAGCATAGACAAAAATAATTATATTTGTTACCAATAATATCCTTTATTTCAACAGAAAATTTTATTTTTGTTTTTTTTTATAATAGAATCAGCAAGCAGAGTTATATGACAATCAGGACACATTCAATCAAATCCAAAGAAGATTTAAGATAATTAAATCTCTTGTTCCAAAAACCTAGTCACAGTTGGTTTTAATCAAAGATTCACTTATGTAATTTTAATTTTAAGCTGATGCTAATTTTTTTTACTTTCAGAACTAAAAGGAGGAGCTACAAGAGTCCCAGTACTATCTTCCCCAAGCTTACTTTAATACCCCAAGGACCCTGGCAACAATAAAAAGCAAATTCATTCCTTTAGCATTTAGCTCCTTTACCCAAATTCACAAATGTATTTACTATTTAAACATGTAATACTTTCATGTAAACACTATTTAAACATGAAGGAAAATCAAGCATGGTTATGTTTTTAGCATTAAGGTTTAAGTAGGTGTACAAACTGCAAAGTTTTAATATGTTACAGTGTTCAAAATTTAGTAGTTATTGCTTATAAAATGATGAACTACTTTGAAATATTTAGCCCCTATTAAAAAACACAGTTACCCAGCAGCTTGGATAGATATGTAACTTGATAGGGGTTGTAAAATCCAATTGTTCCCCTTTCCAAGGATATTCAGAAAAAGAAAAAAACACCACAAAGACAGGGCATACATTTCGACAACAGAAGAAAAAGATTATTTATGGGTAAACTGCTTGGAACAACCGTAGACTGTAAGAAAGCCATGTTACAATGTTGCATGAATTCAAGCAGTTGTATAATTCTTATTGTTCTTTATAAATTTCTTATAACTGAATGCATTACCTTTTATTACACACAGTTGTCTGGTTATGTTTACAGCTAAATAACAATTGCCCCTTAGAAGTCAAACTTGTCTCAACAAGGCTTTTTTTGGGGGGGGAGTGGCTCTAGTGGCATGTCAGAAGTCTGTTTTCTATCAGCACCCTTCCAATAACATCAAATGTAAGGGCTCTCCAGTTTAACACGTTCCCTGGAGTGAAATTCAGATTATCCACATAGCTCTGGATCTCACAGGGTGAAAGAACATAGTCCCACATGTGGACATCAGAGATCATTCCAATAAAGGATTGCTTGGCATCAAATCTACCACCATAACTGTCCTGTTCCTAAAAGAGAAGAACAAAGTTCAGTCAAAATGATAAAGAAACAAATACATGGACTCAATCCTTTAAACACTGAATTATCTAAATTAACCTTTGAATGTTTTAAATATACCTGTCCTAGGATAACAATTGGTTGACTAATCCGTGATCCACCAAGAAACTTCCTAGGTGAAGACTTTCCATTGAGCCACATCTGACCCAATCCAGATTCAACATCCCATGTGGAACAAATAGAGTGCCACACATTCAACTCATAGCCCAGTCCTAGATAGTCTACTTGTTTGTTGTCCACATAGAGAGAAATTTTGTCAGAATTGCCTTTGAATATCAGAAAGCCATTATCAGAAGACGGTGTGGCGAGAGAAAAAAGGCTGTGGTCTCTACTGAGGTCTGTGAATGACCTATAAAAAAGTTAAAAAAGAAAACAGGGAAAAAACAAACAACACACAAGGGTACAGTTATTACAATCAATTGTTTATTTTTCTTCATATTTCCTGATAATTTTTTTCTTGTAACACTACCTTAAGCAGACTGTTACAGCACTCAGATTATCTGCCGATGTATTCAGCATGACTCTAGCTGTGTTGGTTTCTTGTGGAAACGTAAACATCTTTCCTGACAGATCTATGAAAACACATGACTTTTAAATAGGGATATCCTACTCTAGTTATTTGGTAAGAAAAGTAATCTGTTAAAGAAACCTAATCATATTTTTCCATAAAAAGTATGCCTATCTTTGGATGTAATGTTCAAAATGGGACATTTAAATGAGAACATATGTGCTTTACCCTGTGGACTTGCAGCACAGGCTGACAGCATCATAAAAAGAAGTAAAAACGGCATCTAGCATCAAATACAATACAAAAAAAAAAAAGTTTTAGTACTTTGATTTACTGTGCTCCTAGCGTTCCAAATTGGAACAGTATGCCTTAAGAGACAGGTAAACAAAGAAAATACTTTAATTAAATTTTGTCAGTTTTGCAACACAAACCATATTGTGATCTTACCTTAAAGCTGGGTTTGGTTCCTTGTGGTCTTAATGAACTGGAGCATTGAGTTTTAAAATGATGTCTCTTCCTCATTCTTGTTATTGTCTGAGGAATTCTCGAACGGAAACCTCCTATTACTGGAAGAAGTGATAAGAACAGTAACACAGCACATTCCTAGCTAAGAGGACACACAGTAACAACTGGGTATTTCAGCTCACACTGGTAATGCATCACTTATTTATTAAGTATCTTTAACCTGGGTGGCTATTCATAGCAACACAACAAGCTAAATATATTAATGCACTTTCTACAATACATTTTTTTTGTTATTCATAAAGGTCAAAAATAAACATGTAAAACCTGAC